ATTTTGACAGGTCAGGCAGTAGTTGGACAGACATGTAGCAGCGGATAAAGGAAAACGTTATTCATTCAAAATGAACTTACAATTTAATAGTGAGGGTAATCTATTTTTCCCCACATGCGATTGGTCTGGATGGTCTTTTCCTTCACTTAATAAATTACATCCTTTGAAAACTGTGTTGTTGTTTTTTTTACATTTACTTTGATGATCTGACGACTTTAAATGTGACACAAAAGCAAAACAGTAGGAATCTATATGGGGGGCAAATTCTTTTCCCAGCACTTTAATCCCTATCGACGCAGAATTTAAAAGCATTGTTTTTAGTTTCATTCCCTGTGCTGGTAAGACTGCACACTTGTGCAGAGAAAAGTTAAACCTCTTGCAGTTCTTGCTCATTTACAAGCCAACACACACTCCTTATACTGCTCACTCACACATAAAGATACGCCACCATCACACAAACCACCCTCGGCCAGGGAGATTGCTTACCAGCGCTTAGTTCAGTAGCAATGCCCAGTTGGGCCTTGATGTAATAGAAATTGATTGCAGTGCTCCCAGGCCACACTGTCATGACAAGTTATTTTAATGGCACTGAAGCAGGCTTATGCTGAAGTTTAAAAGAAAGAGGCTGGTCACACAATAGTGACTTGGGGCATATTTGTAGCGTTGCCAGGCTTTTACTTATCTGTGGGACAGTACAATGTTTCTCAAGGGGAAAAAAAAAAAAAAAAAACAGAAGACAAGATTAAAATGAAAGAAGAAAATTATGTTAGGTGGATGGTTGATGATGGTGACAGTTCCCCAGAGCCATTTTCGGTAAACTGAAGAGCCATCACCTTGAAATTGCCCCCCAATGATGTATGTAAGCCTCAAAAGTTATAATTAGAGGATGATTTGTGCTACTCACTGTGCACTTAGATGGGAGCTCTACGACCCTACAAATATAGTCCATACAAGCCATATGTGCCACGTTCCCCATTTATCCCAGTAGTAACCTGTCAAACAGGGAGGAAGGAAATTTTCAGCCGAGATGAAATCTGTTGTTTATTGGCCTCACACAGGTAATGGCTGCAACATAAGAACAGTGGCAGAGGAGAAAGCTCTGGTTTTGCTCTGCTTCTGTGTGTCCAGGATGGTCGTTCTTTATCTTGTTGTTTTTCCTGCAAGTTAGATACGTCTGTTAATAAGCTTCAAGTCCTTCTGTGGTCTGCTTATCTGAACATTTGTATTATTTAGCTTACTAAAACAAACCTTCATTGAAATTGTTGAAACCTCTTCACTGCTTTTCGTAATAATCTGTCTGAAAGATACGAAACAGTGGGGATTTATTTCTTTTTGTTGTGTATTAACAAAATAAGACAGCAGGGTAATGAGGTACATATTTTCAAAAAATAAAATTCTAATTCTTACAAGTGAATCCAGATGATTCGCTGGTATTAGTCAACACTATGGCGGTGGAGAGATTCTAGACAGATTTTCAGATAGATTCTGAGCTATTTGTGTTGGAACTAGTTCAGCCTGATTTGCTTGTGCCAGATGGAGACGACCAGGGACGGCAACACCAAGCTACTACTAATCTGTCATCCTGTTTTTGAATGTTTCCATGCATGTTTGCCACTCCCACAAATTAATACAACCAATTTTCTGCTTTTGTCATCTTAAATAGTTACTTCGATGCCATGAGATGAGATCTTGTTTTTGGAATGATAAATACTTTATCTTGATTAGATAATTTATAGAAAAACTGCAACAAAAAAAAAAAAAAAGTTGTTTTGTTTATGACCAGCTCGATCTCAAGTGAATAGTTTTTAAAACAAAAGACTTTACGCCAAAGAGTCTCAGCGTTTTTACTTCCTAATTTATTTTAAAGTTTAATGACATTTTGAGTTTGACATTTCAGCTATCTGAACCCTTGTAATAAATTCTGAGGGCTCATGCTTGAGCACTTCAACTAATGTGTTTTCCTGGTGTTTGGTCCACAGGCCAATTAAGGCTCTCGGTGTGCCACTCTGGCCAAATCAAAGGCTCAATCAAGGCTCCTGCTTTCTCTGACAGCTAAAGTAGCCAATTAAAATCCTGCACCCAGACTGAAACTGCCATTACCGCCTACCATGACTTATCATTATCACGTATGTGTGGGCCGGATGGAATCAGCAGGCTGCATATTGATGGCGGTGAAAGCCGAATTTGAGGCTGAAGAACTGAGCTTGTCATGATTAACGTTAGCTGGGAGTTTAAAAAAAAAAAAGAAATGCCCAGTCAGATTTGGAGCAAATTGCAAACACTCATACACACTCGAGCCTCAATGTGGTGATTGCTCCTGCCTGTGTCACTGTCCGCTGTGCACAGCAGTGAGCCTCATCACACAGGTCAGCACAGCCAAGGCCTCACTCACACACTGCTTGATCATCTGGACAAGTCTATAAATTAAGTTCACTTTGGAACATCTGTGAAGGAGTGGCTCAGAGTCGTGAGTGGGAGGAGAGCTGGTCGGTCATTCAGCTGAATCCGATGTCCACGGCGTTGTAATCAATCAGGAGACCTGCGTTAAAAAAAAAACAAACAAAAAAAAAAACATGCTTTTTGTTCGTATCTGGCATGCGCAACCGCTTGTGCTGGATTTAATACATCTCAACTGTGTGTGACAGAAATGGAGCACATCTAAATTAGAATTGTAATTTCACTGAACTATCTCTGGCATTGCCATCAGGGGCAGACTTATCATCAACGCTAAGTGCCCCCTTTGGTGGGATTTAAATGTGTGTTGATTCATCTGTCTCCTTGTGTTTGAGCTTTTATCATCTGGATGAATGATGAACTTTCTTTTGTACAAATACAGCGAGTGGCTCAAAGTGGACATAATGGCCATGAACATTATCTAATGTTCTCTTTTAAACTGAAAAACCTCTATTTCAATAGGAAAATCAACTTATTTTAGCTGTTTTTAATATCTATTGACTGAATACAGTGCAGTTTGAATAAATAATGCATCTTATACCTATTGGAACAGCTGCAAAATCAACCCACTTGTTGCTACTAATTATTGCTTAATCTTTATTTAGCTATTCAGGCTTTGAATGCAGTTATGACAAGGCACATGAGTTTGTTTCTCTGGCCTCTCTTCAAAACAGGAAAGATAAAAGAATGCGTTACTTTTACAGGGTAGACATAATCTACAGTCATAATAGTAAAGGGGAAAAAAATAAAAATGAAACAACCAGAACTGTGACGAGCAAGACTGGATGATGACCCAGGTTTATCTTTCCACCAAGCACAGCGAGGAGGATGGTAAAAGAGGCAAGCAATCTCATGAGCTCACTGTCAGAAAACTGCAGGAAAGAGTTGCATCTCCATAGCAACCATTAGACCCTTTCTACATGCCCAGCGATTGTTTGGAAAGCATGCCAGAAAAAAAAAAAAAAAACTTTTTCTGTCCTTTGATCACAGTTTTAAAACTGTTGCTTGCTAAACTCCACTGAGATTTTAATTGGAACTAAAATACATGTTCTATGTACAAAATTAGTGTGTAAAACAAATATTAGTTTTAACTCCTGTTAGTCACACCTATTCTTCATCATGATAAGTGGCATAATGTAACAAGGTCAAAACAATAAAGTTTAAAGTTGCCTCTGGCTGGAATGTAATCAGCGTTAGAGCCAGGAGGTTAATGTGCTTGATTCACAATTTTAGATTTGTAAATTTGTTCAGTCTGGGCCTGACATGATGGCCCTTTTGACACGAAGCGATTTTTCATATTTATGCATTTAGATTTAATATGCTGGAGCTGTGCCAGAGGGAGCTTTTTTATGGGACACAATTTAAATAATTAAAATTTTTTATTTTATTTGATAATTTAAAGTATAGAAAGATAAGTACAGTAAGACATATTTTGAATAGTACTAGTTTTTTGTACAGTCTGAGACGACCTGGCAAGTATGCAGCAATTCGAATAATCTTTCTAAATACAACAAACACTGAATCTGTCTCAATTAGGATGTTTCAGAGCTAAAGATGCAGCCGCTGAACTAGAACACATATTTGTCATTGTAGAAAAAACCCCCACAAAGTTTGAACTAACAAGAGGACTTATACTAAAACAACAGAAATATTAACTGTTAAATATTCTTCCTTTTCTAACAAGACAGTATGACACAATAACAAGGAAGGATGTTCTCATTATGAGGAAAACATGGTTTGTTTTTTTGTTCCTGTAAAATTTATGCTGCACTATTCTATACTAATTGGTCTGGGAGGCTGATGCATAATTCTACTGGGTAACATGTATTCTGCAGAACGTCTTCTATGCGTTATGGGAAGGTAATCTAAAAAGACAAATATGGGATGAAAAATATTTCTTCTTCAGCATTAAGTGTTTTCCTACAAATTGCATGTTATTGGTTCGGTTACTTGTTCTTTTTTCTGCTGCTGTAAAGACATAAATACTATTTTTCTGTGATAAGACTGTAACATGATTCTTGTAATGGGCATCAACTTGAATATTGAGTTTTGAATGCTGTTTTTTTGCATAAAGAAGTTTTATAAAGTATATGTTTTGGCATAAATGATTATGTAATTGCAGGAACTTAAACTAAACTGATCAATAACTTCTAATATTTTCAAGTGAGACTATTCTTCTGTGAAATATCTTTCATTTCGATTAATAACCAGGTTCAAGAAATGCATAGCTTAAAAGTCATACAGCCCTTCACTGCTAAAATGTTCAGTAACTTCAATTTGAAAAAAAGCTCAGTACCTTTAATCCCTGCTCCTTGTTCTGCAGAGACAATGGAATCATCACAGATTGCACAAACCAGCAATATAGGGCACAACAATGGCAGCGCTCCCCTTCGCGGCACCTGGCACCAACCACTGACCTGTTTAAACAGCTGGAACGCTTGGCACCGCCTGCCTCCGGAGGTTTGCAGGGCCACTGGCAAGAGGGTTAAGAGGAAGGAAGCAGTGGAGGGGCGGGAGGGACGACCGTCGTGGCATCGCTCAGCAATAGGGGGCCAGTGTGCACAAATGGCACCAAGCAGGAAATTAAACAGGCCACTGGCAGCAAGCTGGGGAGGAGGTTGAAATAGAGTTAAAAGCAAACAGACAGGTTTTATTAACTTCTGGCCAGTTTTAGGCGGTCTGTTCGGTTGTTGGAAGAAACAAATGGGAAGTCGGGGCATATAATTGATTGTTGACAACTTAGGAGTCTGTTTCTTTATTTTAAGAAAAAGTGGACGGTGTTGGTGTTGGCTCTGTGTGGTAAGAGCGTAGGAGGTTACTGACTTGCACAAAGGAGCACTTAGCAGCTTGTAGCAGGGATTGAACCGGTTGGTTGGCTGGATGTATGGAAGGACAATGTTGTAGACTAGCATTCTTCACCAGAATCTGGAGTAATTAAAGTTTTCAAATGTTGAGACGCAGCTATTCTGCACACAGGAAACACATATGTGCTCTGCAGGACGTATATGAAGACATTTTTTTCTCCCTCTTGTGGTTTACCTGTTTGCTATTCAATGTCAAGTTTGGTTTCAGCTACGAGGAAAAAAACTCCCTCTCAGCTCTTTCACTTGCTGGCATTTCACTCTAGTGTTAAATAATTAATCCAGAGTCACTTTCAGATCACAGTTCCACCTTAAAAACGTAACCAGGAACCCCACTATGAGGTTTTGTCCTTTTTACATCATGGAAGATATGCCACAAGATAGCATGCTGACTTCCCGTATAAAAAATTTGTTTAAACTCAGAGCTGCCTGACAACCTCAGCTGAATCTTTCCATTTTACTCCCACCTTTGCTGACTAGTGCCTTGCAATTATCTTGTGCTAAAGTCCAGTAAACTAAATAAACACACCAAGGAGGGAGATCGGAGAATGTGATAGGTGCCAAGTGCTCGGCTAACTAACACTGCATAGATTATCAGGAACCAGTCGGCCGCATTAGTCATATTTCACAAAGCTGTGAGGATATTATCTGATAAGAGCTTGGTGTGCAGCATTTAGATGCTCAAGGCAGCTGCATATTTATCAGGCCCTCTGTTAAAAACCGAATAATGAGTTGCCCTGAATCAGTCGAGGCTCAATAGGTTACACCAGGACAAGCAGGTTTTGGTTGCTTCTCTGAAAATAATGTCACGGCTCCTCTAATAAACCGTCCTCCTCTCTCTTTTATGCACCGGTGGATTCTGTTGTCGCTTTGTTCCAATCTGAGA